CGTCGGCGCTACCCGACAAACAGTCCGCCCCACCTGATTGAGCGAGAAAAGGGTTCTTTCTACACACTGAAAGCTATGCTAAAACGAACGCTGAATTTTTTTGTGATATATGTTTTATTTAATACTAGCTTTTCGCCCGCGGCTTCGCTCGCGTTGAAGCCCTTACCTAAATAAATATCTTTCATTAAAATATATACACATATTTTAAAGTTTTTTTTTTCCAATTAAAAATAGTCTATGTCCTTTCTGTTGGCGCTGGCAACACTGTATACCGGATATGACGTTATCTACTCGAGCCAAGGGACACATGGTCGCATGGAGCAGCGGTCACTTGGATTTCGGCCGCGTTCCCAGACGGTTATATAACCACTAGTGCTGCTTGTCGTTATAATAGTTGTTAATATTCACGTTCAGTAATAGTTAAAATATTAGGATCAAGGTAAAATTGTTAGAATTCTTATATTTCTCAGGCTCTAAATTATCTGTGTACTAAAATCCATTTAAATCGGTTCAGTAGTTTTGGCGTGATAGCGAGACAGACAGACAGAGTTACTTTCGCATTTATGATATTAATAGTATGGAATTCTGGATTTTGTCAGATTAGTGTGTTTATATCCTGGAGTTATTTGGCGAAACATTATGATGATAGAAGTATATCAGCACTATAAAAAATGTTATTTTAAAATTTAAATTTAGTACCGTGTACCTATAATTGATTATTGTCTTATGGAAGATATTAGAACACAGTTTAGCCGGTACATGCAAGTCCAAAAAAACAGTCATTTCATACTGTATGCTGTCTACATTATGATAAGTGACAACCGATCTCCACTCCAAGAATAGCAATTGCAAGTATATTTGTATCAACAAAAAAAAAACAAAGCAGACTGCAAATATCTCACTCTCCTATACATTTTCTTTTTGATTGTGGTCGAGGAAGGGGACTTAGACACGCCGGACCCACCGCCGGACAACACTACACCCACAGTTAGTGCAACAACAAACACACTAGTTAGCCCTCGCCTCCGAGCACGGCGAGACCAACACAACGCGTACACAAGGTACACCCGCGTTCCGGGGCAGTTCTCACCGCCCCCAGCCACCGATTAGCTAATTGCACAGTCGACGGCCATCAGGGTTTCGGTCCGAACCGCGACCTCGATGGCCCTTAGATGACACACCATAGTTAAAAGCACGCATGAGCACATGCGTGGCCCTACCCACAGCGGAGGGCCCAAACCCATGGGTTCTGGCTAACCCACCGGTTCTGAGTCAGATGAAGCTTTAATAGTCTCGGGACTGAAAGCAAAAACATCAGTTAATACAAGATTTTTGATTGTGAGGTATGTCAAGGTGAGATGGTGTATGTCAAGTCAATAGAGAGAACGCGCAAGATTTTCGCGCCGTGGGGTCATCGGCCGCTTAGCTTAGTTGCTAAAGCGTCCGGGCGCGATACCAGAAGACGCGGGTTCGAATCCCGCAGCGCCTAAAGTTTCGGTTCATTTATATACCAAAAAATTACAATTTAAAATATCATCTTGAGTGCAGAGACCAGCACTAAAAGTAATAACCGATATTAAAAATAGATAGAGTCGAGTGTACACACGGCAATTCTTCCAACACACGCGTCCCACAGACACGGTATTACGATCGAACTTGTTGGCAACTCAACAGGGGAACGAGGAGATGGGGTATGACTAATGGCAACAGGCGGAAAGTGTGTCAACGCTCAGGTCGCGTCGCCCTAAATGTACCGAAACGGAGCTACTTCTCAAGCGGAGTGCTCGCAGTTCATTAAGACAGAGAACTACCGACGGTTCCCCTCAACCGTAGCTAATGTTAATGTACGTATTTGTCGCTTCCTTTTTTATGCACCTGATTTTAATTTACCAGCAGTAAATCTCATCGTATTCGAATTGTATTAATGTCTCGTAACAATAAATTACTTTCTATCTAATAAAATCTGTGTGTAAAGTCAAGTGAAGTACGATGCTTTGATAAAATTTGTACCCTGTCTTCTTCAGGTGTCGTTAATGAAATGTTAACTGTGCTGGAACCACGTAGCAATTTCTGGGATTGCATGAATGCCGGCAAGTGGAACTACCATGAAATAACAGAAGACTAGCACAGAGAAGGAGTATGAATAATTTTCATTGATTGTTTTGAATGGTTTTCATAACCTTAACGATTAGTAATTCACTTTTCTAAGTCCAACTCAATTACTATGGAAGTCCATGGGCGGCGATGATCACTAAACATCGAGTAAATTTTTTTCATTGTCAACAAACTCAGTATTATTGTCAACAAACCGCCCACTCTATAAAATTGTAATAAACGAATTATGAGACATAATTAACTCCAACGATCAGACTTTCATAAAACTGTAAAGGATTTCATGGAATAATCTCGAAACAGATCAAAAGGTGACACCGCGATGGGAAGACAAAAAAATCAAAAAGGCACGGACTGAAACGCCACGCTCGTAGGGCGGAAAGGAGAGACGGGTTTAAAAATAGCTTATTGTTGGCTCGCAAGTCAGGCCGAGGGTTGGCGGCGGGGGCGCGAAAGTAAATAAGTCCCCGGCACCCGCATTACTCGACAAATAACCCGATGCTCGCTTCAAGCATGCGCCCTCGGGCTCAGGCATTAAGGCCGCGACACAGGTCGAGCGAACGCAAAGCTATAATAAATATCGAAGATGTTTGTTCAACTTTAAAAACGTTACACTGTAAAATAGGTACAATGTAAAGGAGTGCATGTGCAAAGAAACATTCAGATGTAAAACAAATATGTAACGGAGAAACATATTTAAATAACTTGTTGTCAAAGGCCTAATAATGATGACTTCGTGGCGCAGTTGCCAAGGTATTGGCTTCGGCGTCAGAGATCGTGGGTTCGATTCCCACACGGGACAACTATTTGTGCGACCCACAGACAGTTGTTTCGTATCTGGGTGTCCACGTGCAATTTATATTTGTAAAACGTCCTTACAACACAGGATAATGTTATCCTAAAGTAAGGACAAAAAGAAAAATGTTTACTTGATGTTTAAAAAAAAAAAAGAAAAGAAAGAAAGACCCTAGCAAAAAGCGGAAGGGGCCGCGATGAAGAATCAAATAATAATAACATTACTATAACATAACATTCCCATGGGGAAAACTACGTTTCCGTTAACCGATTGAACAACCAATAAGCGGACGCTTCCATATAAAAAGCCCTTCATTCATCTACTACTGAATTATACTCATTACAGAGCAGTGCATTGATGTAGTTTGATGTAGTATAAAGTAAACAGCTCGCAGATAATATTTCTAAACAATAATTTGCAAACAAACAAACGGTACGTTTTCGTATATCGCCACGAGCATTGACATTATTCATTGTCAGTGCTGACATTCAACGGCGCGTTGGAGCCGTTGCTGAGCTATTGGCTTCGGCGTCGAGGGTCGTGGGTTCGATTCCCACACGGGACAAGTATTTGTGTGACCCACAAATAATTGTTCCGGATCTGGGTGTTTGTTTCCCAAGGAGGGTTGACCGTAAGGCAGGCGGCTGCCCGTAAAAAATCTAGCCCAAACCCCACGGCCAAAAACTAGGTGGGGTAAGGGCAGAAGGATGATGATGAGTGCCGACATTAAATACAGAGTTCCCTTCGATTTTAGTGTTCGATAGATTGATAGATCGCGACAGCCGGCCTCCCTTTTAGCTCTTACAAGAGCACGTCATGTATAAAGGATTTGATTCGCCAAATTATACACAGGTATATTCCTAGTGGATATTAATTCTAGCGACGTATACTAACGAGATTCCGTCTTTCATTTCTGTCCGAAGTATGAAGACAAAGCAATTAATGGTATCGTTGAAACTTGGACAGTATTGGATCCCGGTGTCTATGTAATGGTTTAACGAGTAAGCTTACTAATTCTCAAAGTTTCTTTTTTCATATTCAATATGTGTGTTTTCAATGTTTAAGCTATTTTTAAACACCGTTTAAATAATTTAGACCTGTTGACTTCTTGATTTTACGTTAGTATCATACATACTAAATGAAACTAATTTACGGATTCTATCGTGTTTTAATTTTGATTTTGAAATTCCTAACGTTTCGCACCCTTTCCAGCGTTCATGGTCACGGGATAGTCTGTCTGCTATAGATGAATATCTATAACTTATATACACAATGTTGTTTGTGTATATAAGTTAATACACCTATAACACGAAGAACAGATTTTTTTAGCCAATCTAAACCTCGGTATCCAGAGTGTCACTACGGCCCCGATGCGGTATGATTTTTGTATTAAGATATTATATGGACAAATACATAAAATATAGCGTTGGGGGTGTTAAAACATTTCTTTGCTTATAAAGATGCAGTATTGACTCACGTGTATCCAAGCGTGTGTAATACACAAATGTTGTGTTTAAAGCGGATACGGAACCCCAAAGTAAAACACCAATGTCATATGGTGTTTTACTTTGGAGTTTCGAACACTGTGAAAATAGACACAATCTAATTTAGCTGTTGTCTAGTTTGTTAGGTTCCTGATCTTGCATATAGCAGAGACGGCAGCTCTCAACTTCATCTAGTACTTTATTTGGTTGTTTTATTTCACAAACTGAAAGATTTTCCAAATAAAGTTCAATAAGGATCAAAAGAAGTATAACCGTTGATCTTAGTAAAGTAGTGACGAAGGTTCGTCGTCAACCATAGTTCCTACCTAATTTGGCAAGACACTTATTCTTGACATATTCCTATAATTACCAACAATAATCTATATGTATATGATTAACATAATACAAACACATTAGAGAGTGACTTTGTCCACAGACCTACACTCAAGTCTTCTGTTCAAACAAAAATTTTACCGCTACGTGACCGTCTGGTATAGGACCTTACTATATTTCAATGCTTGTAATAATTCAGTAAAGAACTTCTTAAATAAGATTCTCATCGAAACAAATAAAAGAGATGTGTGTAACCTGTGCACAAAAACGGTCGCATGCGTGGAAAAAGGGAGGGCGAAGAACCTCGTGTTGTGGCGGGGAGTGGGGGCAGTTTTAAAGCGAAACAATGGCGATGCTCGCGGCGTATCGCCAACATCGGAGAGTACGAGGGCCCTAGAGCTCTGTGGGCGCGGAGGGCGCGCGGCTATAGGGATTGACGCGGGCACACCGATATAATCGATATCGACATGTTTTACAAGCGTTAATTGAAATGTCTGTCTGTTCGTCGGCTGTATCTAATGAACCGTGACAGTTGATGTTTTCACAGATTATGTATTTCTGTTGCCGCTATAACAACAAATACTAAAAAACAGAATAAAAAATATTTCAGAATATTAAATATAATATGGAGTTCCGCTTAAATTTCTTTTGCCGTCTATATTGATAATGGTACGGAACCCTTCGTGCGCGAGCCCGACTAAAATCAGTACATTAATACAACGTTTTTCCTCAGTTTGCCGCATGTTATTACTTCCCAGAATTTGATTTTTATTAGAGACATTATCGAATGTTGTAATAATGGAATGGAATAATGGAACGTGAACCCGCAAACGGAAGGAGTGAAACTTAACGAACTTCGCCCATGATCGAAAAAAAAGAAGAAAACTTTCTTAAAAATTCCAACGGAATCATAAAATCATATATTTTTTTTTAACTTCAAAGGAGTGCCATAGATGGCCAGTGTAGACCGCTGCCCATGGACTAGTTCCGGATTAACCACATAGCAAGGGTACCTACGGGCTCCGCGCGAAAGGGTGGCCCCGCATATTTAAACTTCATTTAGTAGTTGGATATGTTTCGTACGTGTCGCCATCAACTTCGACCGAACGAAACCCCTGTGAGGCCATGCCACTTGCCCGGTCGTGCCCTCACACGAAAACCGATATCGATAAAGCTCTCCGCGACGCGCGGCGCACATCACTAAAGCCGGTGCACAGTTGCGCTGCACGCTCGAGTGGCGCCGCGGCTCGACTTAAGGCGATACGGTCGAGTCGAAACGAGCGGCGTGTGCACACCGGGCCCAATTAGCCGTCGGGCCCTCGACACATAGTAGGGCTGCCGCTTCCCGGCCAAGGGAGTCACGCCTTATAGCCGTTTGCGTATCCAAGGTTTCAGACGTGACCCTAACCTTATCGAGAACCGTCAAACACGTAATAAAGGTCCTCCACCTTTATTACGTGCTTGCAGATTGATGTCAATTATATCTATAGTCATAAATTGATGGTGATGTTAAAAGACTACTGGATAGATTTAAATTAGCTCTTATTTGTCAGACACATGGCCCTTACTTGTAATGAATATTGTGTGATATTCCCGTCAACGATCATAAATTGTACAAGATTAATAAAAACGATTAATTAAAGAAAATTATATCTAAAAACATAGTCAGTACCTACGTAAAAATGAGAAAAGTCCGTACAATGGTAATGAGAGTGAGCTTATAGGTTATTACTTTAGGAGTACATACAATATAAAAAACAAGGTAATTAACTTTTCAACTTAAACCCTGGTTGCTATTTACGCTTTGTAATCGAACTGAGGTTGATAGAGTGAATTGACTTAAAGGAGAGCGCTCGGACAATGAGCTATCACGGCTCTGATATCACGGCGCTCCATAATACAAAAAAAGTATCTGACTTCAGTTAAACGAATGCGTCTCGTCGCTCTTCCGTCTTTGCAATATACGCGCACACTGCAACGTCTGTTCAAACACGTAAACGCAATCCAACCCTCGGGCTCTCCCCGAGACGGGAGAAGTGGACGGGAAGCGAGGCGGGCAATACGACGAAGTTCCTGCGGGAGATACCAGCTCGCCGGCCCCGCAATTTCCGAGCGATCCCGCTACCGACTTCCGTCGCCGCCGCCACCAAAGGTACGATTCACACCGGACGTGGCTTACTGACGCGACGGGACTATATTTAATAATGCGCGTATAAGCGTATTTTAAGACAGATGGAAATTCAAATATCTTTATTCAATAAACACAGTTATTTATAGATTGTCAAAGTACTACTAAAATTGCGGGAATGAAAAGCCGGTCATTGGCGAAGAAACGGCGAAAGAAATTCAGCGGGACAGTTTTTTTTTTTTTTCATTATTTGACAAAGAAATATGTTATAATAAAAGTATGTTCAAGTTCACTTGTAAGAGCCTCGAGCTATCAATTCATTTCCAGAGTTTGTTATCATTATTAAAATAATGTTAAATAGATAAGTGATACGTAATAACCGTTAAATAGACAAAATGAGAATGACATCTGAATGTTAGTGCATTTTGACAAATGAAATTTGGAAAGCTAGTACACTTGATGTACCATTTCATTCTAAATGGAAAAAACTACGGGGTCGAAGCGTCCGGAAAAAGTATACTTATAATTTCGTGAAACATATAGTATTCTGTATGGGTCGTGAAAAAAAATTATCAATACGTTACGAATGGAAAACATTGGAGGCTCAAAAATATGTTGCACGAATGGGCAGGTCCGTTCGAGGAAGTACCACGACCTCACAGAAGACCGACGTGAAGTGGAAGGTTCGTCTGGTGAGTGAGAACTCATCTCTAACTGGGGCACAGTTTATCGAAAGATAGCAACGCAATGTAACTACGGATGTTGGTAATGACCATGGGCGGCGGTTATCACTTAACATCAGGTGAACCGTCAGCACGCTTACTATATTTCTACAAAAAAAAGCGCAGACGCGCCTAGCAGGTTGTGAATCGTACTTTACACAACGGAAGCGTTTACACCATGCCAAGTTCTTGCATTTGCCGAGTGCTCTCGCTGCATTCGATCGAGGAGATAAACTTTATGCGAACAGGAAGGAATGGAATAATCCGCCGGCGTAGATATTTACGTGATATTAAGAAATGAATATCTTCGGCCAGTTTGTTTTTTATTACGACGGAGCAAACATACCAATCCTGATAAAAAGAGTTGTGGGAGTGACCTAATTAGAATTGGTTACATTAAACACGCACTACCTACTATAGGTTCGACATCCACATCGTGTTTGAGCACGTAGTGTGAAAGGACCAACCCTCATCAAATTGCAAAGACATATGGCACCAGCACGGGTTAAAACATAAATATTAATATCCCAGCGGAACAGCCATCAATAGACGTCCATTCCGTACATTCACTACGAAAACCTTTTTTTTTTTTCATAGCCTAAGTTAAAATTAAAATAGAAACTTAAATATTCAAACATTTATTATCGATTCAAGAAAACTTGAACTCTATTGGCGACTGGCGTACGCACCAATGAACTTAGTCAACTTAGCCTCACTGAGGTCGAGGCATATGAATATCTCATGTTCAAAGTGATATCTCTTTGTTTTGATAAATTTGCAAACTTACGTTCAAATGATTGCTTTTGAGAGGTTAGATAGTTTTAGTTTTTCACTACATAGTATAAAACAAAGTCGTCCCGCTGTCTGTCTGTCTGTCCCTATGTATGCTTAGATCTTTAAAACGACGCAACGGATCTTGAGGCGGTTATTTTACTAGAGTGATTCAAGAGCAAGGTTTATTTAGATAGTTTTAGTTTTTCACTACATAGTATAAAACAAAGTCGTCCCGCTGTCTGTCTGTCTGTCCCTATGTATGCTTAGATCTTTAAAACGACGCAACGGATCTTGAGGCGGTTATTTTACTAGAGTGATTCAAGAGTAAGGTTTATTTAGATAGTTTTAGTTTTTCACTACATAGTATAAAACAAAGTCGTTCCGCTGTCTGTCTGTCTGTCCCTATGTATGCTTAGATCTTTAAAACGACGCAACGGATCTTGAGGCGGTTATTTTACTAGAGTGATTCAAGAGCAAGGTTTATTTAGATAGTTTTAGTTTTTCACTGCATAGTATAAAACAAAGTCGTTCCGCTGTCTGTCTGTCTGTCCCTATGTATGCTTAGATCTTTAAAACTACGCAACGGATCTTGATGCGGTATTTTTTACTAGATAGAGTGATTCAAGAGGAAGGTTTATATGTATAATGCACCTGTGCGAAGCCGGGGCGGGTCGCTAGTAATAGTATAAAATATAAATAAAGTTTGGAAAACAATACCGTATTGTGGGCATTTCAAGAATGTTATAATTAATGGTGGGCGATACATATCGTATCAGATATGAAAACTAGATATTAGTACAATATCCGAATATCGCTTACTGGCTCGTTCAATATCTATGTATTTTACAATATCTGATATTTCCGAAATCTGATGTACCGTGCTCGCTCGCTATACCGACACGAATCGCGATACGGCGATATCATACGCGTTTGCCACAATATCTGATTTTTAAACAGATTTCGAGAGACAAAGCGCGTGAGATACAAATACTCACTAGTTAGAGCGGGACGGCAACCAATGCACGATATCAGATATCGAGCGACAAAGCGCGTGAGATATAAATACTCACTAGTTAGAGCGGGACGGCAAGCAATGCACGATATCAGATTTTTAAACAGATTTTGAGCGACAAAGCGCGTGAGATACAAATATTACACTAGTTAGAGCAGTACGGCAAGCAAGGCACAATATCAGATTTTTAAACAGATATTTTGAATAAGTTAAGTAATTTTGAATCTTAAGACCATGCAAATAAGATCCGTTTCAATTAAATACTAATCATGGTATCAACGATTACTACAACGATATTATTAAGTATATTTTTATTATTTTGTTTAGCCTTGAGCCGTAACGGGCGACAAAGCGCGCAGTTAAGTAATTTTGAATCTTAACAGCATGGAAAAAAAACATTTTTAGTTGCATTTAAATACGAATTACGGTATTAACGATGTCTTTAAATTTTGTTTAACCTTGAGCTGGATTGCATTGGTACCTAGCACGTAATAGTAAGGGATGCCAACTTACTACTTAAGAATTTTTTGCCTAAATTAAGGAAGAAAAATATAAAATGTAAATTTTTAGAAGGTAAATTTTTGTGAATATTTTTATTAGTTATATTTTATTCATATTTTTGGAAAAAAATAAAACTACACAAAAAGAAAAATATAATTTAATAGTGCTGTGCTGCTTGGGTGGAAATCAGACCAAGGCTTATGTGCTTTGTGTGTATATTTTAAATTCTTCCGCCCTAAGTTATAATACTGAATGTATTATTTCTTACACAAACTATACACTCATGATTGCGTGTTCTAAGAATATGTTAAAGTCAATTATTAAGCGATATATAAGATGTTGAAATAAATAATTTTTATATTACTTCAATTTCTATTTTTAATGAAATTTTAAATTTAATAAGGTAATGTTTTAATTTTACCTTAATAGTATAAAAAAGTGTGATTTTAAATTCAGTAAGGTTTTTGAATTTAGTCAATTTTAGTGGGTTTAGTAATAGCTTTAGTTATGTATAGGTATAATGATCGTCGAATGAATGAATGAATCAAATGAATCAAGTTTTAAATACGCCTGCACAATTTATATTTATAATAAGTATAAAATATTGTTGAAAACTTTTTTTTTTTTAGAATTCAAGTTGGATACGGGACCGTAAAATATCTAGATATTAAAATACATAGTTTCGAAATCTGATATTTGAAATCGAAATCTGATTCAGATACGGTACTCAGAAAAAGCGATACGACCCATCTCTAGTTATAATAATTATTACGATACACGATATGTACTGATAGTTCGTAAGCTATTGGGTCCGGGGACACCGGATCGTCGTGGGTCGTCGCCTCGATTCCCACGCAGGACAAGTAATTATGTGATCCACGGATATTTGTACCAGCTCTGGGTGTTTGTTACTAAGGGAGTCTACGACGAGCACGTGGTGAGTGGTCAAAAAAAGGCATAACCAATACCACTTATAACATGATTCACAACTAGACTGCGCAGAGTAAGCAATTTATCGCAGTTAATCAAAATAACGTTTACGAAAAATATCAGTCGTTAAATTCAGGAAAAAATTGTATAGGATCGTTTGTGTGTTGAATATATTTTCATATAAATCTTATCCTTTAAACGAGCAATTCTTGTATATATATAATCGGAATCTCCGAAACGGCTCCAGCGATTTTCATGAAATTTAGTATGTGTGTAGATTCGGGGGCCGAAAAATCGATCTAGCTAGAAATCATTTTTAGAAAATGTTCTTCTATCCCTGTTTTCAGGGAATGTAAAATATCATTCGAAATTTCGCCGCAAAAAAAATGTTATAATAGATCGGTCGGTAATCGGACGGCCACGAAACAGAAGGCCGTGGTTCGTGTCACGATCATTTACACTTTTTTTTTTCGATTCCAGATCATTGCTTTCTTATTTTTTATTTTATGTCGATCCAGATGATTTTGTTCTTTTTCTCTTTTTTTTTAATTTCTTTCTTTTGTGAAAAACACCAGTTCATATTTTCTTATTATTACGTCGGTAAGATTGAAAAATATTGTGCATATTTCATTACTCGGTAATTTGTAGCTCAATGTAATTTCCAAAATACACGATTTACAAAAAAAAAAACCGAGCAAAGCTCCTCCAGGTACTGATTATTATTATTATTATTTCTGGCGGAAATGGACGCAAGGGTGTACCACCGAATCCGCGCCCTTCGCCAGAGTAGTGGCAGCGAGCCAGAAGAGGCGCTCGAGTCGATCAAACGACAGGAACGGCATTCTGCTTTCTTGGTCTGGCGCGCTCGGCTCAGCCAAGAACACTACGCACATAAACGCGTCGTGGAAGCTATCCTGCCAGTCTTCGAAGCCTGGATGCAGCGACAGGAAGGCAGGCTCACCTACAGACTTACACAGATAATCACTGGGCATGGATGCTTTGGTGATTATCTGTGTAAAATCGGACGTGAGGCGACGGCAAATTGTTTCCACTGCGATGGAAGCTACCAGGATTCCGCAACCCATACCCTGGCGGTATGCCCAGCATGGGAGACAGAGCGGAGTATCCTGGTAAGCCTCATTGGACTAAACCTTTCCTTACCAGCAGTTGTATCGGCGATGTTGAGTCGAGATGCAGCATGGAGGGCCGTAACCTCCTTCTGCGAGACCGTGATGGTCAAGAAGGAGGCTGCTGAGAGGGACCGAGAGAGAACAGATCCCTCTCGGAGACGGGGTCACCGAGACGAGGGTACACCTCGTTACGGTCCTCCATACATAAATGGTGTTCCCCTACCGGAAACGGGGCCTCAGGGATCGCGGGCAACTGGGCCGCTTTAGGTCAGTACAGCGAACCTAAGGGCCAACCAATAGATTGAAGTAGGCTCAAGCTATCGTGGTTGCACCACAAGGTTGTGTGATTATATGACTGGGACGAGGCTACCTAAGCCAAGCCAAGGAGGACCGCGGTAGTGTTCCAAGTGGAGATCCCGTGACCCCCCATAAAGGCTGATGGCGACCACCGTGGGGTTTTAGTCGGTGTGAGTCCGACATAACCTGACTTACCCTATGTGGGAGGCCAGGCATCCATAACGGATTTCCCCACGATATAAAAAAAAAAAAAAAAAAAAAAAAGGTACTGATTATTTAAATGATAACACATTCTGGAACTGAATTGATAGCTCCAGGCCCTTTCAAGTGGACTTTAATACGTTGTAAAGTCGTTTCTTAATCAAACAGTGATGTACAAAAAAAAAAAAAATAATAACCCGCTGCGTTTCTTTCGTCGGTTCTTTCCTAACCGGCAGTGTTTGTGTTTGAATCAATAAGTTTAATGCTAGAGGCATTAAACATATGATTTTGAAAAGAGTTTCACTTGTACCGATTCTATCAAAATGGGACCAGGAGAGGATATAAATTCTACACGTAATTCTCATTACGTGAAAATGAACTGTGCACGAGCTTTACTCATAACGTAGTGTACTGCAAACATCAAGTTGGCGACTGTGAATGGAGACGTTGGAGTAGGCGAGCTGCAGTATAAATTCGCAGGCTCTCGAAAATTGGATTGTCGGGCGTAGTTACGAGGCGGAGTTAACAGTGTGCGGTGCCCCCTTGATTGTTCTCGGGTGGCCCAAGGCAGAGGCGTCAGCTTATTTGTTATATTTATTTATTTACTAGCTGCTGCCCGCAACCACGTCTGCCTACTCTACGCAGACGTGGCCAGACGTCTGCGTAGAGTAGGCTGAAGGCGTAACATTCAGACAGAACGACATACATACATAAAATAATATATTTATATTATTTTATGTATATCTGTCTTTATATATAGCCTACGTCTTATTTTGATGTATAAGCTGTATTATTGTAAAGTTTCATTAAAATCCATTCAGTAGTATTTACATCCATACATACATACAAACTTTCGCCTTTATAATATTAGCAAGGATTCATGGAAAAGTTACACCTAACATAGGTGGCTAGGTATAGATATAAAAAATACAAAAGTAAATATTAAAGTTATCAATTAATTAAATGTATAAAGTTAAATGACACAATAAAATCAAATAGAAAAATATTTATTGGACAATAGCTTCTTGAGCCGTGAACCGTTGCTAAAGTATAAATCAATGTCTACACTACTATAATGATATGTGGAAAATCATCAAATTAATAAGACCCAATTCGGGTAATAATATTCCGAATAGTCTTGCTGACCCAGACCAACTTAATATTTTTTTCACAAAACAACACACATCAAACGCTGATAATATCTATAAGCAGGCTAGGAAAGACAAAAATACCAATTCGGTCTTTAACTTCATGGAAATTTCCCAATCCGACATTGCTCGCTTCATTGAATTATCGTCCTCAAATTTTATCGGTTGTGATGGTATCTCCATGCTTATGATAAATTTAACCTTACCTTACTCTCTAAATGCCATATCTGCCATAATCAATAAGTCTATTAGTGAAGGAATTTTTCCTGAATTATGGAAATGTGCGGTTATCACACCTATACCTAAAAAAGCAAAGGTAGAGAGTATGGAAGACTTAAGACCAATTAGTATTTTACCTGCACTCTCAAAAGTAGCTGAGAAATGTGTGCTTAAACAGATGCTACCGTACCTAAATGAAAATAATATATTACCCTTCTCTACAGTCTGGCTTTCGTAAACAACATAGTACTACTTCAGCGCTCTTGCACATTGTTGATGATATCCTAACAGCTTCGGATAAAGGACTAGGTACTATTCTCGTCCTCTTAGACTTTTCACGTGCATTTGCCTGCGTTTCGATTCCAATTTTATTAGAAAAGCTGTATTACTTCGGTTTCTCAACATCCGCGCTGAAGGGGTTTAAATCCTATTTCACAAACCGGAGCCAGATAGTCCAATGCGTCGATACTGAAGGTCAGCGTAGGTTTTCAATGCCCGCTTCTATTACTAAAGGTGTCATCCAGGGTTCAATTCTTGGTCCCATTCTCTTTGCTATTTACACATCGGACATACATAGGGATATTCAGTATTCGCAGGTACATCTTTACGCTGACGACACCCAATTATATATACATTCACCCTTAACTACTGATGGCATGTTAACAGTTGTATCTAACTTAAATAAAGATCTCGAAGCAATTGTAGCCTGGGCGGAACGACATGACTTAATCCTTAATCCGAAAAAAAGCACTTCGATCATATGCGGAACCAAGCATCAAACAGACTTTCTAAAGCAGAACAACCCTTGTGTTAAAATTATGGGATCCTTGGTACCCCGACAGAATTGTGTGCGTAATTTGGGTCTTCTGATTGATGAAAACCTACGGTTCCATGAACATGTTTTGTGTAAAATTAGGATAATATGTTTTGCATCACTTAGATCACTTTATAAAATTAGAAATTTCATTGATGAAAAATTACGTTTACAGTTATGTAATACTTTAGTCTTACCAAACTTGTGCTATTGTGATATTGTATATGGTCCTTGTCTATTCCAAAAAACTATAATAGCTATACAACGGGTTCAGAATGCTTGCATGCGTTATTGTTGCTCGATACCTAAACGACACCATGTGTTACCATACATAAATCAGAGGGGTTTGTTAAAAATGGATAACAGGAGACGCTTGAGACTGGCTTGCTTTCTGCATTCATTATTAAAATTCAAAGCACCAGCTTATTTATATAATAAATTGAGCTGGTCAAAAGACTTCTCGCGGTTCAATCCAAGGCTGAAAGCCCCTCCGCTTATCCTACCAAAACACATTCTTGTGCAAACTCGGGGCAGTTTGAAGTTTGCTGCGTCTAAATGTTGGAATGACTTGCCCCCTCCACTTCGTAACAGCTATTCCTTAAGTGCCTTCAAAATAAAATGTCGAAAATGGCTTTTGATGCCTTGTCTTTTAAATATAATAGTAAATAGTTATTAATTGGATAGCAATATTAATATAAATAGTTAATGTACAATATTTTAGGACGTACCTATTATAAAGCGTGTTCTTTATGTAAATTATGTCTGGCTAGGACAGAATATCAAAGTTGGTATACCTTCCGTGCTACAACTTTGAGTCCTTGACCCTTTTGTCTAAATAATTGTTATTTTTTTTTCTATTTATGTTACTCTTTAAATATTTTGTGCAGTGTTTGTATATTTAGACAAATAAACGATTATTATTATTATTTTGTTAAATGATTATGATATTATTCAAGAATATTATTATATTAAAAAATATTAATTCCTATTAACAATAAATTCTATATATATTCCCAGTTAAATAGGTTTAATTCAAACTATATTATTTCTTGTATTTATCAGTGTAAGTGACGACATCTACCGAGTACATCGCATAACAATATGCAATGAAACAAGTTTGCAAGCGAAACTCATCGCATTGGGATCTAAGTACCCTCTCACGATACTTGCCGAATGTTAGCGATGCACCTTAACGTAGCGATATACAAGACTCGGCAGTATGCACGGTAATACAATGGAACGAGTGATAAGCGAAGGCGGATCATAATAAGTCGGCGGGGTATTAAAATTATATACAATTATATTACAATTAATATTACTAGATGAAATTTCTATGTTTAATTTCAGAAGGGTTCACTGGATATTTTGTAGTGTTTTCAAGATTAAACAGTGGTAGGACCACGCAACAGTCAGTACCACGACCTCACAGAAGAGCGGCGTAAATTAGAAGTGTTGCACTTCTGCGTTGCGGCTGGTAAGTGAGGTAACCGGGGCCCACATTATTAAGAGGTGGCAACGCATCTGCAACCCTACGGGTGTTTCAAATGTCCATGGGCAAGCGGTTATCACTTAACATCAGGTAAACCGCCAGCTCGTTTGCCACTTCCTCATATAAAAAAAAAAACTTTCTCGAAAAGAAGTCTCATTACATTACACTATTGTATACTGTTGTCAACTAAGCTCAAAAACCTGATTGTGTTCTATTGATATTGGCTGACCAGCCTCCATAATCAAGACAAATATCCTATAGGAACTAATTATATTAACACTGTCATATATCGCTACCCGCTCCGCTACTCGCCGACCGCTCGTAGCTCGCACAGTTCCGCCGACTGCAAATGGCTTTCCAATAATCGCGCGCCTCGGCCGCGCCGTCAACGCGACCGGCTCACGGGCCGAGCCAGCCGACAAACGCCACCCCTCGACCCACCCACCACCCACCCTATCCACCCTCCTCGCTCCCATACGAGACGAAGGGGGTGGCTTTATTGACGCATCAACGACACGTGAGCACACAGTACAAGTTTCCGCTGATAAGGCATCCGCTCGCTTATGCCACGTATGCCGAGCGAGAGCGGAGAGTGGGGGTCAGGTGGGCGCAGGAGGGGAAGGGGGCGCGGAGCGATAGGTAGTCAGTGGGGATGTTGAAAGTGAAGAAATATATCGATATCGACAATTACTAAAATATCAATATCGGCCTCGATATATCGAAGAGAACATTTTCTCTTTAGGTCCTGGAAAATCCGTCGTAAAAAAGGCATATCAAGATTAAATGGAGTTTGTGCCACGATTCGAATTTGAAAAAACATCGTTTTTGATACGACTTTCGATATCGTTAATATTTTGTATCGATATATCGGCTGAAAATATCGATGTATAAAATCAAAAATATCGACATCTCTATTAGTCAGTAGGTCTATCGTAGAGGTCCCGTTAGGAGAGATCTCGCCGTTAGCTGAACGGGAACGCGGCTGGCGAGGCGATGGGGCGAGAGGCGCGGGTCGGGAACAAAGGCCCCGTAGCCTTGAGCGGTGAGCGGAATATATTAGGTGTCATGGCGAAACGGCTCGGAGATTACGAGGAGGAATACGAGGGCGGAATGGGCTTTTGTTGGGCTGGAGCTTACAACTCCGAACGTATCATCAAGTGAGGGGACTGATAAACGGTCACACAGCTATAACTGACCCAAATCGACTTGTACGATGGGTGGATGCTTAACACTATGATTGATGGAGCAAAGAGTTCTATATTCTGAACTTAGTAATCAGGCCGGGTGTTTTCGAATAGCAGTCATTGGCCGCCTATATCACCATAAAGGACCTCTACGGCCCACAATCAATTTTCATAATTCATCCATATCCACATCCACCAGTTTGCTTAGATAGGTTCTATCAAGTTCATGAAAAGTTAGCCAAAACTTAGCCGCTCCTATTTTTCAAACAAAAAAAAACACATCACAATCGGTCCATTCGTTTAGAAGCAAAGATGCCACAGACAGACACTTCAAACGTACAAGACCCATCCTTTTACGTCGGGGGTTGGAAACAAAAGGTCACACGGGTCGCAACCCTCCCCCACGCAAACCGATTCGTCAACAAACAAAACTCGACCGAAACGATTCGCCGGTTGCTAGTGGGACGGAGAGTTTTCGAAATAAAACGGCGCTCGAAACATCGGTATGGATGCGACGTTCCGTTCCATCGAACATACCCAATGGCTAATTTGTGTCCCGTTGCGCACGTTACTACGAAAACTCGAACACTCGTCGAAGTTATTATGTGAGAAGATATACGTCGTATTGTCGTTTTATTTCGTAATAATTCAGCCTGTTCGAGTCCACTGCTGAACATACGCCTTCCCGCACTCGCCTTTAGTTCGATATACACGAGCAACCAGAGTTCGATCCCCGGCAACGGCACCAATGAAATTAATAATTTTAAGTGCTGACTTATCGTGTTCTCTTCGTTGAAGGCAAACATCGTAAGGAAACCTGCACATTTTCGATAGAATAAGAAAAAAATATATCAGAGGATATGTGAACTCTACACACAGGAGGCGTTTTCCCAGCAGTGGGACATTTATAGGCCACTTTACTAGTCGATTATAAATTGATTGCAAAATGTTTGTTTTGAGTACGATCAATTTGTCTTTTACTATATGATTCTATTGGCTGCTAATACAACGGGAACGTTATGATTGGGTAGATTTAATCTTACATCAGACAGTTTACGATAAAATAATATACATGAGTAGCGGAGCTGGCTGTCCCTAGGAGTTTATATGGCAAAACGACCCAACAATCTGTGACGCAAATCAATTCCGATATCAGACGGGGACGCGGGGTTTGCGCGAATGGAGTGGGTTGCGGTAGGGTTCAAGTCATAAGCGGAAAGCGTAAATATAGTTGCAACAGTTAATTTATTTTCGCTATGATTCATGATAAAAACGAAAGATGGATGAAAGTTTTGGGTAAAAGCCATGTGTTTCGTTTTCCAAGTCGAAGCGCGTTTAAAAAAAAATACCCCGATGTACACACTGTTGTTTTATCTGTGGCACGTTGCACACAGTGCTAAGAGTTCAATGTATTTATAGAATGTCGAACGGTAATGACATAATATATAGGTATTCCTTTTTTAATATCGGCCTAACTTTCGGATGACATTATCCTGTTTTGTAACGATGTTTAAGATACGTAAAATATTCCTAACAGCGATTTAAAAATTAATAAATATCCGCTTTCAGCGTGCAACTCGCGCCGGTGGTAAACAATCTAAGCGAAATGCCAATATGTTGTGATATCCCCGGTTTCCTCTCATCATTCCGAGCCCATCGCAACTAAGCCATACCAAATGGCTTACGCGTGCCGAGCAAAGGGCAACCTAAACTCAAATGTAATAAGGCTCAAAACTGTTTGTGGCTCAGAGGATTAGCTATGGACGGGTATGCTCCGGTACAACAATCACATTATACATTTTATAATTTAGCGATTGTGCCACCGATTCGTATGATTCGTTCAAATTAACCATAATCTCTGTTTTCTAAGTAAATTTTCCAACCAACGCCTAATGATTACCACGCACTGCCACGGAGTGCGTGGTACCAATGGGCATGTCCGTCCGGGTAAGTACCACGACCTCACAAAAGACCGGCGTGAAGTGGAAGAGCTCTGGCGCAAGAGACGCCAATCGGGTCGAATTAAGCGATATACGCCGTTTTGTGCATCCATATACGATGTCTTCTCTTCCAAGCTACATATCCCACATGGTGGTGGGGTCAGCTTTCCTTACTTTTTTTCTCCACTTCGCTCTATCGTCGACATGTTCTTCGGACACTTGACATTCTATCATGTCCCTCAGCACTACATCTTTCCATCTTTTTTTGGGCCTACCTCTGGGCCTTTTCCCAGGCACAGAAAGTTGCAGTGCTAATTTTCATAGGCAGTTTGGTGGCCTCCTCTTTACATGCCCGTACCACCGCAGCCTACTCTCCTGCATCTTATCGTCTATGTCGCGTCTATATACGATGTCCAAATTCATAATAATTTTTACACCTGCCTCTTTTGTCTCTGCGTCGCCCATTAAGTCCGCCTACACACAATGTTAATTTTTTGTGTAAAAGTTTAAAATAAATAAATAAGAATTGTTACATAAACCTCCTTCACAACAAGATCGCATTTTGTACATAGTAAGAGACGGCGAAAACGGCCTTCGACCAATGACGGAAATCTTGGTACGTTTCGTGTTAACACCGCTCAATGGTGAAACAACGAAAGATATAGCCGCGACGGCGTATCTGCGGTTATCGATTGGCATCGGAATCGTCCCCTCAATGGATTGCGCGTGTCCCCTTCCGTTGGATTAATAAATATCGCTCAGGTTAATGACATACAGGGGAGGGGGGGGGGGGGGCGGACTTGCATGCATGTATGCATTGGTGTTTATATGGTCGTGGGAAGTTGAATGTAAGGAACGTGGAATGTGATACCCGATAATGTGACAGAAATAGTTTTCAAAGGACATTATTATTTACAATAATTACAGTTACAGGGCGGTTCTAACTTAACATCAGGTGAACTGTCAGCTCGCATGCCACCTTCGCACATAAAAAAAAAATATTTATATCAACTGAATAGATGCGGTATACCACAGGGCAGTATTTTGGGACCGCTCTTATTCTTAGTTTTCATTAACGATCTCCCAACAACGAATACGTATAAAATATGTTTCTTATATGATGATACAAGTTTTGTAAAACAGTTTCATAAATTGACAACGGAAGTGACAACGTTTAAAAGCAATATTGTACCATGTTTTAACAAATAAACGTAAATCTATTTCCTTCAATAGTGATATTCTCTGCACCTTAGATGAAATATTGTCTATTTTTCTACAATTTTTTAAATGACAGAATATATTATATAATATAATAGCCCCTACTAACTCACTCTACTAATGTGCATGGTTATAATATGAGTGAGATGTTAATGAACAATGATTACCGACGCTTGGGTCTTTTATTTATTCAAAGGCTTGGTTGTATATTAGTCAGAAATATAGCTTAGTGATCTGAGCCAGTATCGAAGTATATTAATCGTACTTAACGTAAGTTTTCACTTATTTCTAGTACTTAATGTCTCAATATGAAACAATCATGAATGAATTCCAAATTAGTCCTTTTAGCCGGATTAATGTGGGACATATTTCTATTCATCTAAGGCTGAAAAATTTGCAACTCGCAAAACATTACACATCGTCCTACGACAAAATGCATAATTTAAAATGTGTTAACCGGTAGAGAACGATTTGGGCATTAATTCTCGTCAGCTTTGTGTGTAAGGTTGGCAATGAAGCAATTATAACTAGAGATGGGCATGAAGGTCGGGAACGCACCTGGATCGGGGCGGTCGGGCTTGTTGGGCGCGCGGCGCTCGTGCGGCGCCTTGGGGCTGTGCCGCTTGCCGCCGCCGCGCCCCACCACCAGCGACTGCGGGATCTGCAACGCCACCGCCTCACTGGGGTTGGGGAGGCCGTGTCCAGCGGTGGACTCGGCCAGCCCGAGATGACGACCATAAAGGCTTTCAAATAGAAAAGGTGTGCTGCCAACCTTTAAAAAACGCACCTCGATTATCGCGCTCACCAAGATGAGACACTAAAGTGTGACCACGAGACATCTCTAATTTCCCGGACGAACCTATCTATTTGTGAGGAAAGAGAGCAGGTCAAGTTAGTATTAAAGTGTTGGGCAAAAAGACGGAGAGGGGAGGTCGCCGGCTGACCAGCTTGTCGGAGCGGTCGCCGGAGGGCAGGCGCGCGATGGTGACGTCGGCGCTGTCCTCGGGCGGCGGCGGCTGCTGCAGCCAGTTGTACTCGCGCTTCTCCACCGGCACGCCGCGCCGCTCGTAGTCCTGCGCCTGCGTCCTGAGGGCCGCCCGGCCTCGCTCATCATCGCACATCGCACATCGCACATCGCAATTAGGTCATTACACATCATTAACCAGAATATATTTTAATTGTTATTGTTACGGCAACATCAACGCCACTCCCACAAGAAAGATCGGGGCACAAGCGGGCACCCGATTCTTGCCTCGTCACTTACAACTCCAACGGGTTAAGTGTAACATCCAAAATTAACAAGTTATATCATATATATATAAATCATATACCAGCCACCTGTATTTTATAGCTACATCCACTTCTCTACGGTTATATTCATATTTAAAATTGTTCCTATCTCTCACATATGAACTATATCTTTTTTATATACAATAAGATAAATCGTACTCACCTTAAGCTCTCGTAGCAGTCTAAACATACAACGGCGTAGTCACCGTTTTCTAGCAACAAGGAGTTCTCCGTCCGCCTTTGGACTAGGAACGGGAATTCCTGCAACAGGATATGAGGTTAGCATTGAGATATATCCTAGTGGGTTTGCTTGCTTTTTACAAGCAAGCAACGCTTCCGATGATAATTAATGCCATCGAAGATCACCTATGGGAATCAGCAGCATCAGAGGAGTGGTCTCGGTCTTAGCACTCAACAAGACAATTCCACCCAACGTCGGTTTGCCGCAAGGTCATCGCATTTCCCCGGTTGAGTTTAGTCATAAGTTTTCATCAATTATCCATTGCAACTGAGGTGTTGCAATAAAGTATGGCGATTTATAGATAGCGGTATTTATGGCAGTTGGCACCCTTTACCGGACAACTTTAACTACCTTAATTGGTTAATTAAGGTAGTCGAGGGACGGCAAATAGAATCGCTTAAGACATCAGCCATGAAAAAGTGATGCAATGTGGTAAGTGAAGCACTTTAACTGTGGCAGGGCCACGCAATAGTCTTCGCTGTTGCACGAATGCGCAGGTCCGTCCGGAGTAATACCACGAGAGCACAGAAGACCGCGTGAAGTATAATACTTTCATCTCTAGTCTGGGAAGTGAGGTAACCAGAGCTCTTTTTTAAAAGGCGGTAATCACTTAACACCAGGTTAACCGCTCGCCCGCTCGACAACTGTCCAAATGAACAATACACAATAATGAAAAAGGCACCTTGATGGGCAGAGCCCGAACCCGCTTCCGGTAGGTCTTGATGCCGCACAAGTGGCAATGGTAGTCGTGGGTGTTGTAGGCCCGCCGCTCGGGCGGGTAGCCGCCCAGCGCTTCGTACCTAACGAACGTTCCGAAACCATTTCAATATTCCGTGTGTCTACGTCCCATTGGGTTGGGGAACAATCCACCACGCTACCAGGAAAGATTTCGCGTGTCTTTGAACCGCGAACTTGTCCCATTCATAAATCCATTCATTCATCCACCCAGTCCCATTGATAAAGGACTTACCGATAGGTTCAAAAATAAAGATTTCTTTCATCTTATTCACTCATACTAATAACGAATGGAAAGACGGTGTCAATTAGCCATTAACCAGTCAACACAAAGGCACACTTAGAAAACTCCATATTCGAAGAACAAAACATGAATACAAATCCATTCTATTCTCCATCAGCATGAAATAGGTATTGTTTTATGTATCGAAGGTCTATTTGTAATCATATCATCACCGTAAAAAGGACAACATTTTGTAATTAGAGTTTAATATGTAACAATGTGCAAATCTACCACTGTCTGTCAAACTGAGATCTGTACAAAAAAGATCCGACAAAAAATTCTATTTATTTACAATCATCTCGACGTTACTGAATGGATTACTGGGCTTTTTCTGGACGTTTTTAACAAAGTTCATTTAATTATTTATGACTACAAGAAATAGCTTTAGCCAGTCTAAGCCTGCGCACCCCAAGGTGCTACCACGACCACACATTCCAAGTAAATATTTCGTCAACAGCAATTATACGATAGTTGAATAAGCATAAAAAATGCAAACGGCACCCACCTCCTCCACTGACTCAAGAGCGAATGGTAACAGAATGTACAGACTAGTGCCGAGCCGTTCTCCCTCAACTGCTCGGCGTTGGCGTGACTCTGGAACAGATACTGCGTTTATAAATTTCTATGTATGTCATTCATCAACCAAAGGGTCAAATGTACTTATTCGAAAAAAAAAAACATCGACACGCTCAGTTCTGTAGGACAAATATTTTCGATTAAAATTTTTGACAAAATTTCACTCCCTTTAAAAGAAGAAAGACAACGTAAAAGTGTATCGCTTTCACTTCTATGGGGCCATGGGACTTCCCCGGACGAGCTGCTTGGCCCCTATATATACCACAACAGTAGAAATGGAAGGCAATCTATCTAATCGGCGATTGAAGAGAACAAATTATGTGATTTTATGCAGCGTTATAACTAACAGTAAAAAGCGATGAATGAAAACTGATTGATGCAGTCAAGTTTGCATCAATTCCCATGTATGTAATCACAACGAGCCTCGGAGGATGCGTAGAAAAATCGGCTAGATAGAAGACCGAGCGATGTTCACCTGATGAGTGAGGAGACAGGGGAAGTAGGGCGCGTTGCCCTGCGGCTGGCCGTAGAGTATCCTCGCCAGCGTGAAGTCCGAGTGGAGGCCGCAGAGGAAGCAGTATATCGACGTGCAGACTGCAACACGAATCGCGTCGAACTTTTTTTTAGGGTGCCATGGGGACCTTATTACTAAGACTCCGCTGTCTCTCTGTTTGTCCGTATGTCATAAAGTTGTATCTCATGAACCGTGATAGCCAGTTGAAATTTTCTTAGATTATGTTTTTCTGTTGCCGCTGTTCCATACACTTGGACGTTTTTATGTGAATTTTGTCAAGCGAGTATGTAGACCGGTTTACCCTAATTTGTCACCGCCGCCCATGAACATCTACAGCACCTGAGGTGCTTACAGGTGCTTCGAAAACCGTTAAAAGTGGGCCCCGGTTACCTTACTAACCAGACAAAACGCCAAGGTATAATAATTTCCACTGGTGGCCGTGGGACTTCCCAGGACCACAGAAAAGTATATGTGTAAAGAAAGACTATTTATGTGGAACTGGTACGGTATTAAGTCCCAATAACCACTGTGACCTAGAACATCTATCGTAGTCTTCACGTCGAAGCTAGATGAACTCTTCTAAACCAACAACCCTAATGAAGTTGACGTTCATTGAGGGGCTAAAAACTGTAAAATTGGGCCCTCCCAGTTTCCGACCCCTAATATTGACCAGGGCATCGCATTCACAATTTATATCAAGCGGTATCTCTTCGCCATCACCGCAGTATTTACTTTAATGGGCGGCATGGTTATACTTAAGCTTAGTGCATTAGGTAAAAAGTTTTGTGCCACTCACCGCTATTGCTGGCGACCGTCCGGTCGGAGGTGGTGGACGGCGGGGTGGGGATGATGCGGTCGCCGTTCATCGAAGAGTTCGACGGTAGCGGCGACGGGATGTTGTACCTGCGCGACAAGGCGACGATTAAGTCCGGCAAGGGGGCGATAATGAGAACGAGAGAGAAGGAATAAAATAAATAAACATGAATAGAGCTAGAGGAGAGTGGTGAAGGGAAAGAGAAAAATGGAGATAAAGGTTTTTGTTATCTACAAATTGGCCAGGGAGCCTCAGGTAATAAGTGATGGACGGATAGGAGTTGAGGAAAGGGAAGCGAAGAAACCATAGAAGAAATGAAGAAAGGTTAAAGGAAGGAAGAGATAGAAAGAGAAACAATTTGCTCGAGGGTTAAAGGTTAACAAATAAGTATAATTTTCTACAAATTTAAAGAAGTAAAGATATCATTATCTAGTCAAAATAAGCAAAGCTTGTACCACGGGTGTAGAAAAACAGTACACCACCTCCTGTGCTCCAGAGGCACCCGTTCTGCGTCCATGAGCTCCCACTGGCGCGCCAGGTGGCGCACGCAGCGCGAGCAGGCCAGCACGCGCCCCCCGCGCGGCCCTCCCCCCCCGGCGCCCACGCCCACGGCCACCGCCGCGCCCGCGCCCGCCGACACGAGGCAGGGGAAGTGCATCGCGTGCGAGTTCATGTACTCGGCCGTGGTCGAGAGCCACTCCATCGACTGCTGCGGGAACAGGCCGGCGCACACGTAGCACCTGCGCGACATGTTCGCTTCTGTTCTGTCGGCCCCTTTTTTCCGCTTCGTGTGAGGCGGCCCTAAAACGCTTCGACACTCCGCGTAGACGAGACGTTTCAGTTCGGATTGCGTCCCAGTGCGGGGACTGAAACTCTTTCGTTCGTCTCAATGGGCGGAGCAAATGGATGAACGTTTTCACGGTGAACGTTCGTCAAATACTTTATAATCACAGACCACAATTGGAACAATCGAAAACAAACATAGCGTTATAAGTTTATGAATGCAGTAGTACTAATACGAAATTTTTTTTATCATCGAATTTAATGTTCATCAATTATATAATCTCAAAATAACATTACAATGAATATAAAAATTAGCACATTAAATATTAACATTTGCAAAGGCGCGTTCAAAAAGATCAACTCCAAAAGAGATTGAACCAAATCAAACAGCAACTGATAGAATTCGATAATGTACTGAGGCATCATTCACCTGTACAATCCCATGCCATTCTCGCCGGAGATAATTTGGCTCTGCGGACTACTCGAGAGCGCGTTAGAGGGCCGCTTATTCGATTGACTGGAACTACAACTCTTCATATCGTATGGCTTAAACCTGTGACAGATCTTTAAGTTACTCCCCCACGGCCGATGACAACGGTTTCCACGGTCAAAGACTATGGGGTAACAAATCGAATATCGAAAGGACGTCAATTAGTGAAAAGGGTCAGAAAAAAACAACAAAAGATTTACAATACTACAATATATTTATAATTTATAATTAATTAATTCCAAATTTCCCCTGACAAAAACCACGTTATAGCAATCGACCATTTTAATTATACTTAAATACTTAATACACTTAAATATCGTATCTCAACTGTGTATCGATAAAATGATTACAGGTTTTCTTATCTTCTTAAAAGTACGTTGTACTGAATAAAAGTCAAAATACTAAAGGGGTGCTACAAGGTACTATTTTGGGACCCATTCTGATAACAAAGCAATTGAATGAAAAGGCGGACACGTCTTGATAATAATTTAAAAATATCCGAAAGGTCTGACAAATTTATTAACTACCTAAAAATTATAATTAAAATATGTAGAAAATGTACGAAAAGATTGTCGCCGCTGTGGGAATCGAACCCACGTCTTCGGCATTCGCGGCCTGACGCTCTAGCCACTGAGCTAAACGGCTGATTGCCACAACGACGAAAATCTTAACGTCTTTTTCTACATTGTTTCTTAGCATTTGGAGCAACGCTTGGCGCATCCATTGTTATATCCTTTCCAGCATCTCTCATTCGAATTAACGTTGTAAACGATGTGGGTTCGATTCCCACAACGGCGACAATCTTTTCGTACTTTTTCTACATATCTTAATGTTCAATCTTATAAAAAATTTCGAATTATAATGTTAAGATTTCTTAAATGTATTGATTGATTCTTACACGTGCATACCAAAAGTTTCTGGAACTGGCCACTTACATTAAAACGAAAGTGAGCAATGCTGGAATTCTAAAGTTATCTCTCTTTTCAATTTGCGAAACCACATTCGTTTTCTTTTTTATTGTGGCGTCGTCTTTAAAGATGCCGTGCCGTTATTGAAATTCTGAATTTGACTCTTTGATTTTTCGCTCAATAATTAATTACGGTTTTCTCCTTGGCTAGCAGTCAACAAGAGAGCTAGACTTTAAATGGTATTTGATGGTGAAGCATGATGTCACCCCAGCTCCGTCTATTCGTGATTCAGAGAACTTAGAGGTAGACCTGATAAATTTACAGAAACCCATATGGGTATTTACCGTACGAAAAATTATTGAAACACTTTTCAGCAAATTCGTACTACACTGGGCATTGGATTGAGCAAAGTTCAAAACATTTTGCATGTGCCTCAGAATGAGCTTTGCACTGGATGCAAGATTTAACCGAAGACCAGAAATGAAATGTTTCGAGTGGTGTTGTAAAAATTGAAAGAATGTTAAATATTTGCCTGCCTATAATATCTATGATAGGTGAATTAACGCGTGTTAACCGTTTCGAAGAAAAAACTAGTCGTTACAATAAGTCTTTCCTTCTGAAGACACTTCGACGAAAGTTAAGAGAAGTCCAATCAAACGGTTGATTCTTTAGCAAATGAGAACATTACATTACAGTGTCACGTGAAAAAGTTAAATGACGGCAGATTGATAAGAATGAGAATAGATTTCCCAGTGTCGGAAAAAGATCAATGTTTCATAAATACAATATTTGAAACCAGAAACTTTCAGTATGATCTACGTAATGAAAAAGACCCACTCCTACGATACATTTGCTCCTTCAGAGACGACAATTGTCGCTTAAATAATATTACTTACATCCACTGCGGATTGGTGGACTTCATTAGTTACTTAATGACTTTTGGCATTCTTTTAGTCATCCAGGTCCATCCAGGGCGTGGGGATAAAAATCCCAAAAGAACCAGTTTAACTCGAGTTAATTGTCGTCTCTGAGCAGGTCGTTTAGACTTATTTGTTTGGCGTCAAAGCGTCGCGGTGGAACTCACCTAATGTTGTTGCTGTGGGAGTTGTTGTGGGCGGCATTCGGCTCGCCGTTCTCCCCGTAGGCGGGGTACTTGTGCGGGATGCTCTTGTAGCAGGACGCGCATATCTGGACCATGCCTGAACACGCTCGCCTCTTTAATGGCCGACGGGGTGGACAGAGTTTGTCGGCCGGTTAGCCGAGTGAGAAGTCTTTATGACCCGCTACGGGCGGCCGCTTACTAAAGTTTAGGTTCATTGGGCAATTGAGATGTCAGCGTTGTAGTCTCGGGCTCGTAGAATAGAGCTCAAGTATCCCATGCCTGTCGTAAAAGGCGACTAAAAGGGGACACGGATTGGCAGCAGCACGAAGTGGCCTCGAGCTGCTGGAAGACGGCGGGGGAATCGGGGAAGGTTTACCCTTCTCCGAGGCGTGCTCACGCCCAGTACCGAGGGACACCGGTGCGTTCCGTAGGAGATCCCGGGGTCCCTCCAAACGTACAGAAGGTGGCCACCGAGGGGGTTTTAGTGGGTACGAACCCCACATAAAGTTGGTTCGTACAGAGCGTTTTTGGAGCTTACTGAAGTTTAAAAAAACTTTAGCGGCGTGAAATGGGAGTGTTGCACTTGTGCGTTTCATGTGGTCGGGGGTCTCGCAAACGTCGAGGGGCGGCGAGTGATGACTCGAGCGGAGGACGCACCTTGGGGGCTGATGGGGCTGGCGTCGTGGTGCGGCTTGAGGCCCGTGATGAAGGGGTAGTAGGGCTCGCGCTCGGGGTTGGGGCAGCAGTAGACGAGGCGCAGCTGCGAGCTGGGCGCGGGCGCGCCGCACACGTAGCACACGAAGCTGGCCGTGGCGCGCGACGGCGGCCGCTCCGGCGCCGGCGCCCGCTCGGCCCGCTCGGCCCGCTCGCCCTTCTCGCCCGACGACGCCAGGCTCAGCGGCGACGGCGGCAGCAGCGACGGCGGCCGCGTGCGCAGGCAGTACACGCGCTCGTGCGCCGCCACGCCGCGCGCCTGCCGCCACGGCCCACGCGCGCGTTACTCGAGCCTCACTCTCACACTCACGTGACGCTCGAGTTACACTCGCGACACGCTCTACTTGAGTTGAGCCACGTTACGGTAACTGCGTGAGGGCCACGCAGCGACCTCGGCTGTTGCACGAATGGGCGGGCTCTTCAAGGTAAGCACAGGAACCTCACAGAAGTCCGGCGTGAAGTGGAAGCATAATAAATACTTTCGAGTTTCGTCCGGCGATCGAGGTAGCCGGAGCCCAATTTTGGAATGGCTGTCAACGGATCTCCAACCCTCGGGTGCAGCAGATGTCCATTGGCGGCGGTATTCGCTTAACATCACACACATTTCACATAAAAAACACCCGTTATGCTACGTAACAAGTTACACTCGCGTTAAAGTCACGTGAGCTCCCGGTGGACGAGGCTTTATGGTGTGACGTCATAGGGGCCAATTACCTTTCCACCCACTTGCTACCTCGGCGTGAAAGCGCCTTTAGCTCGTGACTTCGCCGGAGCGTAATATTTAAAGCAAAGAATCAATCCCTAAAGCGCGTACACACTTGGCTCACTGCACGCAACGCGGCCCCGATGTGCACGCACCTTTAGGTCGTGACGTCATACAGTCTTCTGAACAGAGCGCATTTCATAATGGTGAATTTTTAAGGCGGGGAAAAGAGTAAAGTGTTTTTGTTCAAATGTGTAGTGTGCGCCATTTGATTATTTTATGCTTGTTAGGTTGTAAATCGAATCTGTGGCGGCCTCGCTTCAACGGGACGCTATTTCTTACATGTGATGCTATAACTATTTTTCAAAACGTATTTGATATCACCATTCATTCATTCATTCATTGATACGCTTCCGTTTTCCTATCATGCGTTTTCGTTATGCAAGAGTCAATAGAGCCAGTAGCTGTTTAGTTTACTGCAACTTAGTTTAGTGAAAACGCAAATACTATATTCACAATAAGCCTTATTTTGTTTTCAGATTTATAATAAGATATTGTTAAATTATAAATACAACCGTAGTTACAGTACATCGAAAACCTTCAATACAACAGACACGTGTACGCGTTTCACAATCGCGAGATATAAATAGCTACCGATAAAAGGCACTTAGTAATATAATTAAAGATGACGTATTTTTATCTGTAAAGTAAATCCCTCGATCGATCACTGCAACAACGGTTGCAGGTCCGTGGCCAACCTTGATAGTGACACTCATCCAGACAAAGTTCCTGCCCGTATGTGCAATTACACAGATCCCTCTTCACTAATGCACGCGTGTGCACAAGCGAGTGACTATTAGCGCGAAGTAAAGCATGTAACAATCTAACTATACATGTCCCACTGCACTGTACTCTGTACAGAGGAGTAAAGCAAAGTAACAACCTATACATGTACCACTGCTGGGCAAAGTCCTCCTCTGTACAGAGAGCATTAGGGCATAGCACTCCACGCGGATTCGTAAACTTTACATATTTCGGACCTTTTTAAAAACGGGCACTTTTCGTTACAATAGTTTACTCCGCCGACGAACACTTAAATTTACACCTAATTTTGGCACTGGCAATCAACAATTTCGAAATAGCATGTTGTTACGTTTTGTTTTTTTTTTTTTTTTAATTAATTGCGTACTAATTATTTTAATGCTTTTCCTGACTCAATAATAAAGCCTCAAATTTTTGTGAAACTTTGTAATGAGTGACATAAGTTTATTAGTAGTTATTGACCAAACGAAACTCTCAGCTTGCAAATTCGAATGATATTAAATCTATTATAGGACATACGGAAGTATGGACAAATGTAATATATGCACATAAAAATAGGTATGAATTTTCAAGACATGGAAATTCATAAATACTAGGAATAAAAATTATTCTACGCATAACTAGACTGCGTAGAATAAGTACGTCTTTTATGGGACAAAAATGGGTTTTCGCAACGAAATCCCGGAAAAGTACGAAATGAATCAGTTGTCAAATTTCAAAAAACTTGTAAAAGAACGTTATTGTTAAAAGCTATTTAATGTTAGTGATTATTTAAATGATAACACACCCTGGAAATTAATTGATCGCCCCATGCTCTTTCAAATGGACTTTAACATATTGTAACCATGTATTGATTTATTAATTCTTAATAAAATTTTTAGATTTATTTTCGGTTCTTCTCAGTGGCTTTTCTCTCACTACCTGGTAGTAGTATTTTGACAATCAATAAGCGTATAATGCTTCTATACTGAATAAAGAGATATTAGAATTTTTAATACGGACTCGACGTAACACGTACGCCGGTTAAATTACATAAGACGTCCTCATCCAAACAAAACGACTGGTCGGAACGAGGGATTTTGCGCTGTACGAGAGTAGAGGTTCTTCGATAAGGGGTTATCGGCGGTGGGCATTCGACCCCAGCAGTGGGGTTATCGGTGCCCAGACCAACCGCGGACGAGCGGATAAACAAACAAACGTGACGGCGTCTAAGGTGATCCGGCTTGCGAACGATAACGGCATGTCCGCCTCTTAACCCCGCGAGGTTGGAAAGAGATAGTGGAGTAATGTGAGAAGGTAGGCAAGCTTGCTGGCGGTTCACCCTATGTTAAGTGATAACCGCAGCCCGTGGACATTTGCAACACCAGTAGAGTGGCAGATGCATTGCCACCTTATAATAAAGTGGGCCCCTGCTACCTCACTCACCAGACGAAACGCAGAAGTATGACGCTGACGCTCTAGCCACTGAGCTAAACGGCTGATAGCCGCAGCGACGAAAATCTTAACGCCTTCTTTCTACATTGTTATTTAGCATTTGAAGCAATGCTTGGCGCATCTATTGTTATATCCTTTCCAGCATAAAAACGTTCAATCCTAAGTGCAGAGATTAGCACTATAAAAAAAAACTTTAAAATTTAAAATTGACTAATTTAATCGTGCCACCGCCCGGGTGTGAACTCATGTTGTTCGAGTAATAGCGAGCTAAACACGTGTAGTCCGCCAACCCGCATATGTAATGTCTAAGACAAATCGTACTAGAGTAGTGCTTGGCATTATCGTATAATTATCACGGTAAGCTGATAAAGCTTTTTTTTTTTTTTTTTTTATGGGAAAAAAAGCAGCAAACGAGCAGGAGGCTCACCTGATGGTAAGTGATCACCGCCGCCCATGGACATCTGCAACACCCGAGGGCTTACAAATGCGTTGCCGGCCTTTTAGGAATGAGTACGCTCTCTTCTTGAAGGTTCCCAGGTCGTAACGGTTCGGAAAGACCGCCGGCGGCAGCTGGTTCCACAGAGTGGTTGTGCGAGGCAGGAAATGCCTTGAAAATCGCGCTGTTGTGGAACGCTGGACATCGAGGTGGTGTGGATGAAATTTTTGGTTTTGGCGCGATGTCCGATGGTGAAATTCAGCCGCTGGGATCAATCCAAACAATTCCTCGGAACACTCCCCGTGATAGATGCGGTAGAAGATGCAGAGTGACCCAACATCTCTACGCATAGCCAAAGGATCAAGCTGATCGGAAAGACCTCGATCGTCGATAACCCTAGCTGCCCTACGTTGGATGCGGTCAAATGGAAGAAGCTGGTAACAGGGGGCTCCCGCCCAGAGGTGAGAGCAGTACTCCATGTGGGGCCGAATTTGCGCCTTATAAAGGTTTAGGCGTTGAGCCGACGTGAAGTACTGTCTCGCCTTGCTGAGCACACCGAGCTTCTTTGAGGCCAATTTGGCCTTACTTTCCAATTGACCGCGGAACTGGACATTGCTCGAGATTTCGACGCCAAGTATTCCGATACTAGCTGTGACAGACAGGGGAGTGTTCTCAAAATGAGGAGTCACGACAAATGGGGACTTTTTAGCGGTTAACGCGCAAACTTGTGTCTTATCGGGGTTGAATTGGACTAAATTTAGTCGACCCCAGTCTGAGACTTTTGTTAACAAAGTCTCGACTTCAGACACAAGTTTGTTCCGGCTCTCGAAGACGTTTTCCCGAGAAATGTTAGCACGGCCTGTGTACGAAACATCCACAGTGCTATCATCCGCATAGCAATGAACGCTGCTGATTTGCAACATATCATTGATATGCAGAAGAAACAAAGTGGGGGACAGTACGCAGCCTTGTGGAACACCAGCATTGACAAATTTAGGATCAGAGCATGCACCGTCGACGACGACCTTGATGCTCCGATCTGCCAAAAAGCTAGTGATCCAGTTGCATAACTTCCCGGAAGCCCATAGGAAGGCAGCTTCGAAAGAAGTGCTTTGTGCCACACCCGATCAAAGGCTTTCGCTACGTCCAGACTGGCTGCAAGCGCCTCCCCCTTGCTCTCAACTGCTTCTGCCCATCTGTGTGTCAGGTAAACCAGAAGATCACCGGCTGAGCGACCTCGACGAAAGCCGTACTGGCGGTCGCTAATCAGCTGGTGCTCCTCTAGGTACCGCAGGAGCTGGCAGTTAATGATGGTCTCCATTATCTTGGAGAGCAAGGAGGTGATGGCTATAGGCCTGTAGTTGGACGGATCCGAGCTGTTGCCTTTCTTAGGGATCGGGTGCACTAAAGCGGCCTTCCAGGTTTTTGGGAATACGCCTAGAGTATAGGAGAGCCGGAAAAGACGCGTCAAAACCGGTGCCAACTCTGGAGCACATGTCTTCAACACGATCGGAGGGATGTCATCGGGCCCACTCGACTTATGAATGTCCAAGGAAAAGAGTGCTCTGCGAACTGCACTTTGCCGAAATTGAACCTCCGGCATCGTAGCATCGCAACGCGGGATTGTTGGTGGTAATTTTCCTCGGTCATCCAAAGTCGAGTTGGACGCGAAGAGAGAGCCCAGAAGATCGGCTTTCTCCTTCGCGGCATGGGCCAGCGAGTCATCCTCCGTGTGCAGGGGTGGAAAAGAAGGCTTACAGAAATTTCCCAAGACAGCTTTGGCGAGAGACCAAAACGCACGTGTTCCCGTTGGGAGACGCGCCAATCTCTCGCCAATTCTGCCAATGTGTTCCGATTTCGCCTT